GTAGGAACAAACGAACATTACATTTTTATTTATATAGATAGATAGAAGATGATCTGCTTTAGTTCATCCTCACAGAAAAACATAATGCCTCACAGAAAAGCAAACTTAGGTCATCGTACTCATAGTGCCATCTGTTGGACATAAAAGCCTTAACCCTAGATGATATCTTTTAATTTATATGAATGTTTAACGGAATAATATACAGCCTATGTCCACCCTGAAGTTCCATTCTAAATATTGATGAAAGAATTTTTGAAATCAGATGAGTAGTTTCGGAGATTACCCCTACATCCAAACTTACAAACATTACCTCTTTATAATAATAGTATAGATTACTCTGGCTAGCAATGAAAAAATCTTCAAACAAATTAATTAAATTTTAAATACAGTTCAGTTGTAAAAATCATTGTAAAAATCAGTTGTAATAAATTATTGATTTCTGTATTTGTCTGTTCCCTTTTTATTTTTAATGGAAAAATTTTTAATTACAGATATTTGAATGTTCTTAAAACATAGAAAACAAAATTGAATAAAATTTTAATTTGTCAAAATTGCAAAATCATATAAGAGTAATAGTGTGCTCCAATCAAATGGAGAGTAATTGAATCTGACCCCTATTTCTTGCAAATAGAATTTCTCAAGCATTGGAACAATTTTTAAAGTGGTTGAGCAGTCCTAAAACAAAATCTGTTGTAAAGGTTTTAGTCTGTTCCTGTTAATTTTTTTTAAAGACAATACTTTTTAAATTTATATACAGTCTAACCTTTCTAAAATGATACCCTTTACAACAATAAATGCCAGTACAATGATAGAATTTCCGTGTTCCTGGCTGAAGTCCTATACAAATACTGTAATTTATCATCTGCTACAACAATAGTAAAAACTGTGATACAATGATATGACTATCGGAATATGTTGGTGCAACATGACTGACTGATGCATGAATCTCATGTTTGCTAATCATGTTACCTATGTATACTCCCCACACTCCAGAATGGTTTGTCCATATCTAGCTAATTGTCATCTTTACTTCATCCAATCCTATTACAAGGAACTGCAAGTGCCGATCGATCAAAGAGTTTCCTTTTCCGGCCAGACAAGAGCTCTGGCTAGTGGCCAAGAAGAAGAAAATAGTAGTACTAGCAGGAATATAATTACAATAGTAATTTGGTGAGTCGAATATAATTAAAATTAAATAAACAGTTTTTGAAATACAGTGTACTAGCAGGAAGCAAAAGAAATAGCAAAAAGCTTGTAAACAAATAAGTTTAGAAATGAAGTTAGAAATGTTTAAAAATGTCAATAGTGGAATGAAGCAAATAGAAGTTGCAAAGAAGTATGGCCTTTCTCAATCAACTCTAGCAACATTTTCAAAAAAATGGAAGAAAATTTAGTGCAGTGTAGCAGATGTACATGGATCCTTCTCAGAAATGTCTGAAGATAGCTAGTTGTGATGATGATGACTGCTTTTGGTATTACAAAGCAGAGATCTCCAGGAACTACTCCAAAAATATTCCAGTGTTACAAGTTAAGATAGACATTGTGGCAGAAGAATGCATTTGTTGAAAAAGAGTTATATTTATTTACAGACTGTACCAATGAGACAATTCTGGTAGAGTTAGGGACTGATGTCCAAGATGAGGAAGATGATGAATCATTTTAATGTAAACTCCCCAGTATCTTAGAAGTTATTTCTCAAATGGACACAATTTAACACATGGCAACTACAATTACTGGAATTAGAAACTAACAACTAACTGCTTTTGACAAAGTTCGTTCAGCATTTGTAAAACACATCTTGCAAAAAATGAGTCAAAACAAAATAACAAATTTTTTTAAGCCAACATAAAGTTCAAAACAATTAATAGAATTTCCTGGTTAATAAATAATTCAGAACCAATCAGAAAGTA